TAGACCCATATCCAAGATCTTGAATAAAAAAGAGGCTGCCAACAAGGATGGTAAAGTGTGTAGAAAAGAATTCAAAACACATACAGGTGAACAACGTCAAAAGCAGAGTTTGAAAACTCCATTGCAAAAACAACTTTCAAAGGGCAAAGGGCATGGTAATGTTGTTAAAACTAGACCCATATCCAAGATCTTGAATAAAAAAGAGGCTGCCAACAAGGATGGTAAAGTGTGTAGAAAAGAATTCAAAACACATACAGGTGAACAACGTCAAAAGCAGAGTTTGAAAACTCCATTGCAAAAACAACTTTCAAAGGGCACGGTAATGTTGTTAAAACGAGACCCATATCCAAAATCTTCAATGAAAAAGAGGCTGCCAACAAGGATGGTAAAGTGTGTAGAAAAGAATTCAAACACATACAGGTGAACAACGTCAAAAGCAGAGTTTGAAAACTCCATTGCAAAAACAACTTTCAAAGGGCACGGTAATGTTGTTAAAACGAGACCCATATCCAAAATCTTCAATGAAAAGAGGCTGCCAACAAGGATGGTAAAGTGTGTAGAAAAGAATTCAAAACACATACAGGTGAACAACGTCAAAAGCAGAGTTTGAAAACTCCATTGCAAAAACAACTTTCAAAGGGCACGGTAATGTTGTTAAAACGAGACCCATATCCAAAATCTTCAATGAAAAAGAGGCTGCCAACAAGGATGGTAAAGTGTGTAGAAAAGAATTCAAAACACATACAGGTGAACAACGTCAAAAGCAGAGTTTGAAAACTCCATTGCAAAAACAACTTTCAAAGGGCAAAGGGCATGGTAATGTTGTTAAAACTAGACCCATATCCAAGATCTTGAATAAAAAAGAGGCTGCCAACAAGGATGGTAAAGTGTGTAGAAAAGAATTCAAAACACATACAGGTGAACAACGTCAAAAGCAGAGTTTGAAAACTCCATTGCAAAAACAACTTTCAAAGGGCACGGTAAGTTGTTATTAAAACGAGACCCATATCCAAAATCTTCAATGAAAAAGAGGCTGCCAACAAGGATGGTAAAGTGTGTAGAAAAGAATTCAAAACACATACAGGTGAACAACGTCAAAAGCAGAGTTTGAAAACTCCATTGCAAAAACAACTTTCAAAGGGCACGGTAATGTTGTTAAAACGAGACCCATATCCAAAATCTTCAATGAAAAAGAGGCTGCCAACAAGGATGGTAAAGTGTGTAGAAAAGAATTCAAAACACATACAGGTGAACAACGTCAAAAGCAGAGTTTGAAAACTCCATTGCAAAAACAACTTTCAAAGGGCAAAGGGCATGGTAATGTTGTTAAAACTAGACCCATATCCAAGATCTTGAATAAAAAAGAGGCTGCCAACAAGGATGGTAAAGTGTGTAGAAAAGAATTCAAAACACATACAGGTGAACAACGTCAAAAGCAGAGTTTGAAAACTCCATTGCAAAAACAACTTTCAAAGGGCACGGTAATGTTGTTAAAACGAGACCCATATCCAAAATCTTGAATAAAAAAGAGGCTGCCAACAAGGATGGTAAAGTGTGTAGAAAAGAATTCAAAACACATACAGGTGAACAACGTCAAAAGCAGAGTTTGAAAACTCCATTGCAAAAACAACTTTCAAAGGGCACGGTAATGTTGTTAAAACGAGACCCATATCCAAAATCTTCAATGAAAAAGAGGCTGCCAACAAGGATGGTAAAGTGTGTAGAAAAGAATTCAAAACACATACAGGTGAACAACGTCAAAAGCAGAGTTTGAAAACTCCATTGCAAAAACAACTTTCAAAGGGCAAAGGGCATGGTAATGTTGTTAAAACTAGACCCATATCCAAGATCTTGATAAAAAAGAGGCTGCCAACAAGGATGGTAAAGTGTGTAGAAAAGAATTCAAAACACATACAGGTGAACAACGTCAAAAGCAGAGTTTGAAAACTCCATTGCAAAAACAACTTTCAAAGGGCACGGTAATGTTGTTAAAACGAGACCCATATCCAAAATCTTCAATGAAAAAGAGGCTGCCAACAAGGATGGTAAAGTGTGTAGAAAAGAATTCAAAACACATACAGGTGAACAACGTCAAAAGCAGAGTTTGAAAACTCCATTGCAAAAACAACTTTCAAAGGGCAAAGGGCATGGTAATGTTGTTAAAACTAGACCCATATCCAAGATCTTGAATAAAAAAGAGGCTGCCAACAAGGATGGTAAAGTGTGTAGAAAAGAATTCAAAACACATACAGGTGAACAACGTCAAAAGCAGAGTTTGAAAACTCCATTGCAAAAAACAACTTTCAAAGGGCACGGTAATGTTGTTAAAACGAGACCCATATCCAAAATCTTCAATGAAAAAGAGGCTGCCAACAAGGATGGTAAAGTGTGTAGAAAAGAATTCAAAACACATACAGGTGAACAACGTCAAAAGCAGAGTTTGAAAACTCCATTGCAAAAACAACTTTCAAAGGGCACGGTAATGTTGTTAAAACGAGACCCATATCCAAAATCTTCAATGAAAAAGAGGCTGCCAACAAGGATGGTAAAGTGTGTAGAAAAGAATTCAAAACACATACAGGTGAACAACGTCAAAAGCAGAGTTTGAAAACTCCATTGCAAAAACAACTTTCAAAGGGCACGGTAATGTTGTTAAAACGAGACCCATATCCAAAATCTTCAATGAAAAAGAGGCTGCCAACAAGGATGGTAAAGTGTGTAGAAAAGAATTCAAAACACATACAGGTGAACAACGTCAAAAGCAGAGTTTGAAAACTCCATTGCAAAAACAACTTTCAAAGGGCACGGTAATGTTGTTAAAACGAGACCCATATCCAAAATCTTCAATGAAAAAGAGGCTGCCAACAAGGATGGTAAAGTGTGTAGAAAAGAATTCAAAACACATACAGGTGAACAACGTCAAAAGCAGAGTTTGAAAACTCCATTGCAAAAACAACTTTCAAAGGGCAAAGGGCATGGTAATGTTGTTAAAACTAGACCCATATCCAAGATCTTGAATAAAAAAGAGGCTGCCAACAAGGATGGTAAAGTGTGTAGAAAAGAATTCAAAACACATACAGGTGAACAACGTCAAAAGCAGAGTTTGAAAACTCCATTGCAAAAACAACTTTCAAAGGGCACGGTAATGTTGTTAAAACGAGACCCATATCCAAAATCTTCAATGAAAAAGAGGCTGCCAACAAGGTTGGTAAAGTGTATAGAAAAGAATTCAAAACACATACAGGTGAACAACGTCTGCCCGGTTTATTATTACAAAGCCTAAAGGTCCTACCAAAAATTTAATACGTTATGTCGTTAAAATGAATTTATACAAGTGTCCAGATTGCTCAGCAGAGTTTAAAAACACCACTGTGCTGCGCAGACATAAAACAACTTGCAAAGGGGATGGTAATGTGATTAAAACGAGACCCAAAAACGAGGTTGGTATTTTTATAAAAGAGGTGATCGACTTGAGAGACAAAATCAAGCCCAGCAAAATCTCTAGAAGTCCCAAAAATTTAAGTAAAACAAACAAAGAAAATGTTGCAGCAAAAACGAGAAAAGAGAATGTTTCCTAAAAAACTAACCAGAACCTTACAAAGCCCTAAACCAAAAAAGACTTCACCAAGGTTAAAACCAACTTCCATTTCTAAAATTCCTAAACCGACAGACAAATCCCAATCTGCCAGAAAACAATTGATCTCATCCCGGTTCCAGAAAATTAAGCCCATAAATAAATAAATATATATATATATATATATATATATATATATATATATATATTTAGTTAAGCACGATATTATATTATAAACGTATTATGAATAATTATCGTTACTATTTTGTTTTTAATAGATAAATAAAAATGTGTATATATGTGTAAATCGATCCTGTTTAGTGAAAGACTCTATATACCATATTAGTACGTTCATAATGTATTTCTAGAAATATATTTAAAACTAGAATCAAGAAGTAAAATCAAGCAAAAGCACACACCAAAAACATGAATTTAAAGCACAGAGATTCAAACAACTTTAAATTATTATATTATAAATAAGAAGTAAAAATTGTTATATTGATATTATAAAACTATTTTTTTATAAGGTGTGCACAAAGCTTTTAGTAGAGTGCTAATAATTATTATAATTTGTATCTTTCATAATCTCTCTCTATATATATATATAATTTTCAATATTTTTTTTAAAGTCAAAGCAATAAAAATTTGTGATATACAAAATATGCACAATCGCTCGACTCGAATAAAAAAATAATCTGCACTAATCTCTTTTCAAATTTTAATCGAATAAACAAATATTTGTTATTGATATGTTATATCAATGTTATGATATTTGTTATATGATATATATATATATATATATATATATATATATATATATGTTTTGTATCATATTTACCGGAAAAATTAAAAAAGTATGCCTGGCTGGTACTAAAACTGAATATGTGAAATTTAAATCTATTCAAATATATATATATATATATATATATATATATATATATATATATATATATATATATATATATATTTGACAGAATAAACCTGATGATGGAACGTACCTAGTTCCGAAACGTCGTATTAAACATCTTCAAAAAACAAATTGTTTTTTATTATTGGATTTACTGTTCGGAAAAGAAACAATCAATATATTGAAAAAATCCAGGACTTATCTATTGAATATATATATATATATATATATATGTATATATATATATATAAATTTTATAATTGTTAATATTAACTCGATAATAGTTTATAATTAGAATTTAGATTATTTTCAACATATTAAATAATTGCGAAGCTAGAATATATAAAATATATTAAATTTAATTTGTACTCAAAATAAACTTAGAATATATTATTTAAAAATTCATTTCCTCGTGCAATATAAAAATAAATTTTAATATTCCTTAAAAGTTATAGAGCAAATGTTAAGCATTATTTTTGTATTTTAAGATATTAGTATGTGTTTATAAAATGTATAATCTACAAAAAGAGTACATATTTATTAAAAAAAAGAGAGATCAAATATTCAAGTCTTTACGATGATTGGATCAAAAGTACTAACCAGATCTTTACTATAGTTTTAAACATTATATTGTAATTAAAATGCTCTATGTAACCCTAACTAAAACCCCCCACGAGAACTTTGTTCATCCTACAACTAAAAATCAACCCTTAAAAATCTCTATATATATATTAATTAAATCCATTCTATTTAAGCACTATAAATTGGTAAATCATCCTCCTTGCTCCACATATTATCGAGTGCATCATTAGAATATTCTTTAACTTTCGTCCAATAATCAGAAAGTTCATTAGCTCCATCGTGAGCTATCATTTTTGTATATTCGACAGAATCTAATACTTTATCGTACATTATATCAGGATAGTATGAAATTGGATGTTCGAAAGGATAATATTCAGAGAGTTGGACAGGGCTTTGCAAGTATAAAAGGACTCCTGAAAATTATTGTAGAAATGTAGAACTTGAATCATACAAATAGTATATTAAGCTTGCCAAACTAAAATTTAGTTGTAAGTCGAACTTTTTGAACTGCAGTTATATTTAAGAGGGTATTCTAGTAGGTATTCTAGTATTTTAAAGGACTTAACAACCGACAAATAATATTTTTACTAGAATTCTTAAGAACGAATTAAAAGAAAACTAGTGGTGTATGGCAACGTGCCTTAAGGCAAATTTCTGGAAAATCCCGTACCGTAATGTAATATTCGAGAAATTTTAAACGTTTCAAATATATTATTACAAATACTGTAACTTTCATTATTTTTGCTATCTTTTGTTATATCCGAGCAAATCAAATGTAAATCATAAATCAATTATCTCCAGAACATTAACAATCGTCATTTCATTTCGAATTCAATTTCTAAAAAATAGTTGCCTACTAATTTACACAAAATTGAAAAAGTGCTCCCGTATAGTCACAGTCTAAACGCACTTGCAAATAATTCTGTGCGACATTTTCACTTATAATGTGCTTAGCTTGGCGGCATTTTCTCATTTTTCAATAGGTTTCCATAAAATTGAAAAAGGGCTCCAGTACATGTATCTCCGTAACAGCTGGACCTACCTTTGCCAAAAACTAATCAGCACATCTCCCTATCAATAGGAATCGAATGTTTTTTGAATTTTTCAAATTGGTTAAACCGTGCGCCCGAAAACGTGGACAAAAAATTGCGTACACGCGAAATACACACACAAATCCATTTTTTTTTAGGTATACCAAAATGTTTAGAAACCACTCAAACGTGAAGATATACAAACATTTTCATTTTCGATTTTCGAAGATATGCAAAAAAAATAATTTGAATAACGTCGCTATTGTAATTACAATGAACAAGTTACAATAACTTTTTTTTTCACAAAATAGCAACTGTCTGAAAAACAAATTTACAACTTGTTTTGATAAGCTCGATTTTTTTAAAAATAGTAAAAAGCAGAATTTTGGATATGAGCGTAGTTTATACTGAAGAGAAGTCAATAGAGACTCTGAAAAAATTGCAAGTAAATCGGTTCGGTAGAAGTTGAGAAATCGTGAGTATCGTATCGAAAAAGACAATTTCGAGAAAAACGTGAATTCTCGTGGTTAAACTGCTATATCTCCGGAAATAATTTTTTAAATTTTTAATTTAAATTCTTGAATAATTAAACCATGATAATATTCCAAAAACAAAATCGTTCTTTTTTAATTCTAGATCAGAATACCCCCTTAAATAAAATATTTCAACATGCAGCAAGTATCAATTTTTGCGTCAACCAAAACATTGTTAAATTTTAAATAATAAAAAAAACTCACCGCAAAGCAGCAACAAGGGAAGCAATAGCAGCAGAACCAGTCCACGTTTTCTCGATCTTGGTGGAGTTTCTCTTCCACAAAGCAATTTGCAGTCAAACAATGACACCAGGGTGATTAGCCAATAAATTTGGCTAAAGAACCATAAGACACCATTCTGTGTCTTTGAATAACACCTTGAGAAGAAACCTGAAAAGAAATAAAGGGTAAATGTCATTTTGGATTGAGGAAAGTTTCAAGGACACCTCTTTGGGTGTGAATAATCGATTTAATCAATAAGAATCGGTTTTGAAACTTATTTTGTATAAAATATTCATATAATAGAATTAAAATTAAATACAAACTAGATAAAACTAGTGGTGTATGGTATCGTGCCTTAAGGCAAATTGCTGGAACTTCCCGTACCGTAATGAAATATTAGAGAAATTTTAAACGTTTTCAAATATATTATTACAAACTTTCATTATTTTTGCTATCTTGTTATATCTGAACAAATCAAATGTAAATCATAAATCAATTTATCTCCCGAACATCAACAATCGTCATTTCATTTCGAATTCAATTTCAAAAAAAAAAAAATAGTTGCCTAATTTACACAAAATTGAAAAAGTGCTCCCATATAGTCACAATTTGCAAATAATTCTGTGCGACATTTTTACTTATACTGTGCTTAGCTCGGCGGCATTTTCACATTTTTCAATAGTTTTTCACAAAATTGGAATAATGCTCAAGTACATAAACAGTCTAAACGCACTTAGGTAAACATTTGTACCAGAGTGGCGCTTAGACTGTGCTTAGTCTGGGTGATTTTTTGAATTTTTAATCCAAGATTACAAAAGAAACCTGAAAAAAGATGTAATAATTTTTTATCCTCAAAAGCAATTGTTTTGTCAATACAAGCTGAAAGTTTTTTGAATCATTCAAATCGGTCGCTTAGTTCATTCAAAAGCTGTTATTTTGCACATTTAGCTCTGTATCTTCGAAATGGCGGGACTTGTCTTTGCCAAAAACTAATCACCTCTTCTCCCAATCATTACAAATTGAATGTTTTTTAGATCATGCAAGTCCGATACTCCATTCTCTCAAAAACTCGATTTGTATTTTCTGCACTCTTTGCTCCGTATCCCCGTAACGGCTGGACCTGCCTTTGCCAAAAACGAATCAGCACATTTCCCTATCGATAGGGATCGAATGTATTTTAAACCATTCAAATCGGTTGATCCGTGCGCCCGAAAACGTGGACGAAAAAATGCGAACATACAAAACACACACGCACACACACATACATACATACACACATCCATTTTTTCTGAGGTATGCCAAAATGTTCAGAAACGTTCAATACGTGGAAAAATGCAAAAATTTTCATTTTCGATTTTCGGCCCATTACTATTACTACCGTACGGTAAGTTAGGGGGCGTCCATTAATCACGTGAGGTTTTTAGGGGGAGGGGGGGTCTGATAAAAAATCACGAAATATCACGCGGTGGAGGGAGGGGTATAGTAAGATATCACGTGTATTTATTTTTTAACCGACTTTTTAAAAAAAATTAAACATTTTCAAAAAAAATTTAAAAAATTTACAGTTTTATCACGTAACTGAAAATACACGTGATGTTTGATGGGGGAGGGGGGGTAATTTTGAATATCACCATGGATCACCAAGGGAGAGGGGGGGTCCAAAAATCCTTAAAAACTCGCTCACGTGATTAATGGACGCCCCCTTAATTATTTACTAAATTAGGTTAGTTTAGCATTTTCTTAGTTTGGTATCCTCTCTTGCAATAAAAATATATTACAATATATATATATATATATATATATATATATATAACAATTATGATATGTTTACCTCTCTCCGCATTCCTTCGTCTGATGGGCGTCCTGTAAACATGACTCTCCTCAACATCCACAAACCAGCTCTTCGTCCATCTTCCCACGCTCACCAATTTCGACCAAAACCTCCTAACCAAACCTTCTTGCTCCACCATCACGTCAGTAACATCCCTCCCGTTATAATAATAGCTCTGACTCGGCATTTCATCATCAGAAAATTCTGTATCCTTATAACTTGTGGTCTTTGTCATTGAGTTTCTCAGCCTCATACCATCACTACTGGATCCAGCCGATGTGGAGTATGTGCTTTTCTTTATTTTACTTGATTCGTAGTAATTGATTCGTTCGGCCAAGAACTTTTTGTCCATGCGTTCGTCGAAACTGTGCAGGGACGGCCTGGACATGTTTGGGAGAGCTACAGAGCCTCCTGGGAGCTCTCTGCGGTGGGGGGAACGTTTGGAGTAGGTGTAATCTGTTTTTGGGTATTTGCTGAAAAGGAAATAATAGAAACTAGTTATAAACAAGAGTAAAAAATAAACTTGGATAATATTAAATCATTATATTAATGTATAAGTGTTTTTAACTTCCCGTAGGGTAAGTTATAGTAATCGCAAAAAAATCGAAAATAAAAATTTTTATATATCTTTACGTTTCAGAGGTTTTTGAACATTTTGGCATACCTTAGAAAAAATGGATGTATGTGTGTGTGCGCGCGTGTGTGTGTGTGTGTGTGCGCGTGTGTGTATGTATGTGCGGATACAAATTTTCGTCGACGATTTCGGGAACACGGATCAACCGATTTGAATAATTCAAAAAACATTCGATTCGTATTGATAAGGAGACGTGCTGATTAGTTTTTGGCGAAGGCAGGTCTAGCCGTTCCGGAGATACGGGGCAAAAAGTGCCGAAAACGGTAACTCAGTTTTTAAGAGAACGGAGCGTCCGATTTTGATAATTCAAAAAACATTTTACTTGTATTGACAAGATAAAGAACTGATCAAATTTTCATAAAGGCAGGTCTAGCGGTTTCGGATATCTAACAAAAAAAGTAAAAAAAAATGCCATTTGGCGGTCAAAAATGATCATTAGACATATGCACATCAAATTTTCAGATATTTTATAGAGATTTTAACAATAAGTATAAATTTTGTTTATTTTCCTATGGGTTCCGTATCAATGTTTACCCGTTAGACAGCGACGCCGCGCTTACGCGCTTTATATTTTGTCTCTATGCAGTTAAAGCAGTACGATTGCTTTGAAAAACAAGTTCAGATCTTCCAAAATATGTCAAAATAAAGAAAACATTTTTTTTCAAAAAAAAAAAATTAAAAAAAGAATTTTTTTTAAAAAAATTAAAAAAAAAAAATTTTTTTTTTCAAAAAAAAGTTATTTTTTGTCCAATTTATAGTTTTTAAAAAATCTTATTTTTTCGAAGTAAATTTTTTTCAAAAATGTTAATCGTTTTTAAAAGAAATAATAAATTTTGGTACGGGAAGTTCCAGCAATTTGCCTTAAGGCACGATGCCCTAATTGCCTTAAGACAGAATTCCACTTACAGCTAGTTTTTATATTCATTTGATTATAGGTCATTCCGTGCCTACAAATTAAAACTCCGTTTATTTTTTTTTTCAGATAAGCCGATCAGCCGGAATCGTGGAGGAAGTGGGAGCTCTTTTTTTCGAGGCGGGGGTGTTCAGAGCGCTTTAACTCTAGTTTGACTGAATATTTTTAGCTGAAATTTTATATTTATACTGTCCAAATATGTGTTAATAAATGATAAAAAACTTGAAGCTCTAAATATTTACTGGTCGTAGAAAAAAAATCCTAAAATATCCCTAAAAAACAAGCCGTCACATAGGAAGACTCCCATAAACAGTGAAAAATCAACTTAATTAATATGAAATCATTATATTAATGTATGAGTGTTTTTTCAAATTATTTTTAAGCTATGAGTTTTACTATCTATTTACTATTATTTCTCACTTACTTCCAATATTCTCCGGCTTCTTTATACTCTTTGTAAGCGAGTAATTCTGCCTCAGTCCTCTGGCGTTCTTCCTTATGTCCGTTTCTTTTATTTTCTTTTTCTGTATTGTCAATATTTTGCACGGTTGTTGGAGATATGTTTCCATCTTCAGAACTGTAATCGGAGGTTACATATGTATGGTGGGCATCATCCTCGTCTGTGATTATGTATAAATTTCTTGATGAACTGCGAGTATTCATTGCTGGCACATCCATATCCTCTGCAGAAGAAAAGCTGAAAAGAATATATATATATATATATATATATATATATATATATATAATGCCTCCATAATCACAAAAATATTATCAACATTAATAAACAATTTAAAACAATCATAATAGGACATATAAATAATTTATTTTGATTGTTTTAACACAAAAATTATTATTTAAAAGAAGGTTTGTTAAAGAGTTATTTACCCAATTACATAGCAGCAAAATCATTAACAAACGAAATGACTACATATCTCTGAACAAAACAAATACAGATTTTTTGAATAGCGTGTCAAAATTCAAATAAAAACCATAAAATTCCATGGTTATTTATATTCTGACAAATTGTTGGACATATGTAAAACCTTCATGACAAATTTAGATATATATTTTCTTTAAAAAATTTGATATATCTACCCCAAAGTCAGAAAAGTGGATCAATAGTATTTTTATTAATTAAGGATACCAAATTGTGTTTTTAATTTAGTTTATTATTATTATTATTCTTAAATTGTTACATATTATTCACTTTTATTATATTCAGTAAATGAAGGCTAGGTTGATAAATGCCGAAAAAAATGAATTTCAAAAAATGAATAAATTTTCTATATATATATATATATATATATATATATATATATATATATATATATATATATATATATATATATATATATATATATATATATATATATATATGTTTAATTTGAGTTTAATAATCGGGCGTAACATCACATATCAACATCAAATTCAAGACTATTCAAAAATATATATATATATATATATATATATATGTGTGTGTGTGTATATATAAATAAATCTAGACTCACAATTTCTGCATAGGAGTTCTTGATCGTGATCTAGATTTGCTTGATCTTTGTTTAATATTTAATAATGCTGGGTTCTCCATTTTTTTATAATCTAAAATATGAACAACTATATAAATTTAAATATATATATATATATATATATATATATATATATATATATACAATGCTGACTAACTGTAAATTTAGCATTTGCAATTTAAACAGAATTTCAGACATTAAATTGCTAGAATTAATGATTTAAATGAATCAAATCATTCGTACATATGATTTATAGATAAAACTACTTGATTCAATCGATTTTACATTAATTAAAATATCCAATCATCAAAAATAACATTAATAATTAGGTCTATAGATAATTAAATACACAAAGATGATAAATAAATAAAATATTGAAATTACATTAACTATCGTGAATTATATTAATTGTATCATTAATAATTTCTACAAAATACTATCTGCACATCATGCCTTTTAATTAAATTAAAAATATAGTCTCTGTCAATTGATCTATTTAATTCGATTGTATTTCTCATAATACAAAACAATTGGATAATCTATTTAAGAAGTTTTTATTATAAAAGTTGACTAAACTCTAATTGTTTTCTTTTTATAATAAAAACCTATTAATTAGATTATTCAAACCAAATACAAACAAATTATTATAGTTAATTACAATTGACCATCATACAATCGTTGGTTGAATATTCTAATTTTTATGATTAAAGTAGTTTTAGCATCAAGAAATCATTGTATTCATTTTAGTTTATAGTAATACAATAATAATTTGCTTAAATTTGAAATATCTATGTATTGATACGATTTAAATTGTATTCATATATTATATGAGCAAACTTTGTCAAGAGTATTATTTTATCATCCTGTTATCATTTTTTAAATATAAATCCTTTATAAATTGGCAAGTAGCATTTGAATCCATGGTAACATAACAATACATCGATATGTTCAATTGCTTTATATATAAATATGTATTTATCATTATATCCATATAAATACCTGTATCAGCACTCAATTTAACAAACTACACAATTTGAATGGTCTAGTCCTCTATTAGTTTATCTTAAGGTCAGCAATATAAAATTAACACATCTCTGAAACAAGTCCATAAAACAAAACCTTGAAAAGTACTATTTACGTTTTAACACAGACCTACATATAGAACACATGGAATTAATTCTAATAATTAATTAATAATTAATAACCATTAAAATTCACTTCTTACCTCATGCAAAGAGCGGGTTGAGGAGTTACTCAAGTAATTCTAAAAATAATCCACACAAATGCTAAAATTAAAAACATAGGTTATGTCTCTCAAACTGATTATTAATAGATTGAGTTTTGTACTTTTCAATTCTTCATAGATGTAGATTGTTGATAGGAAAAGGGCACTTGTAATAAGAAGTAGATGATTCTTAGTATTAATAATATAAAATAAATAAACGTTTTGAGCGTCCCGTTATTTCACAACACAAAACACAACTTGGTGACGTCATGTCGTAATCAGAATTGACAGGGGAGTGAAACAACTTCATGCTCTTCAAATCATTGTGCAGATTTAAAGAATTATTATTTAGTAAATTATTATTTAGAATTAATTCTTATACTTTAAGATACTATTATCTAAAATATTTGAATATTTTCACACATTTTTAGAACTTTAATTTTAAATTTAGAGAAAATATTTATTTAGAGTTAAATATTGCCTTACATACTTTTGTAAAAGTACATACTTTTTGTTTCAATATGGCAATACTTATATATATATATATATATATATATATATATATATATATAATAAGTAATATAGTATTTAGTAAATAATATTATAATATAAATTTAATAAAAATCTTCTTTATAATATTATATGAATTAGTTAATAATCTAATAAATAATGTAATATCATGTAAATAATATAATAATATAAACTAAGTGTAAAATTTATTAAAAATCTCTTTTACAATATTATATAAATCAGATAATAATTTAATAAATAATGCAATATCTTGTAAATAATATAATAATATAAAGTAAGTTTTAAATTTAATAAAAAAATATTTTACAATATTATATAAATTAATTATTAAATTATACCTTTAAAATTTTAATATTTTGCACAAAAAAATATAAAGATGGTTAAAGTTTTGTTAAGAAATGAGTTTTACAAAAACTTACAAATAAACCAAAATCAATATCTTTATTCTAATTTTAGATTCAATTTAATTATTTTATTATATATACACTAATGAATATTGTTATATAATAAATATTTGTTAAATAGCTAAATTTATATGATAATTAGATTTTCTGACAAAATATTTACATTTTTATAATTTTATTATTCTAAATTGTATTTTCATTTATTTTATTCAATGTCTCTCATTTTTCTTATATTTGGTGTTTTTGAAATACAAATTATACAGCAATAAAATTCTACTTAGTTTTGTTTTAAACATAATAAGATGTATTATTTTAATCAAATTAATGTTTTTTTTTACAAAAATGTTCACCTCCTCTGTTTTCGACTAAAACAGACTAAACACACCCATCTTTGCATATTGTCGACAGATGTCGGTGAAATAGTAATCCTTGATAGACCAAACAGTTTTATTTTTATTCCATTGAAATCGGTTTTTCTAAAATCCAGGGCCGGCTTCATCCTTAATTACAAATCCTAAAGAATAATATAGACTCATTAAAATATTTATCAATAAATTTCCGTTTCTAATTGATGATAAAAATCAGTTGATAATTAATTTCTTTTCAATTACATGTATAATTGCTGAGATGTAGATAAAATAATAAAATTGAATACTTGAAATTATATCTTTTATTTTTAATTATTGATAAGTGAAATTGCAGTAAATTAGTCTTACCAAATATCAAAAAGAAAATTTTATAAGCTCTCTAATGATATATTACATAACATGTTCTAACAAAGATTATTTTACTCTAATTAATTTTATTTAAAAGCTTATAAATATTTTAATGCCACAAAATAAAGAATTTTGTAAACTTTCTAATGATATATAAATATATTTATATGCTCTAACAAATTACACAGATATTTGGCAACAACTGAAAAATTGTCCTTAACTTTCTTAGTCAGGGTTTTGATGATTCTTTGCAAAAAATATTTTATTCTAATTAATTTTATTTAACAGCTTATAAATATTTTAATGCCAAAAAATAGAGGATTTTATAAACTTCCAAATATTATATAAATATATTTACATGTTCTAACAAATTAAAAAGATATTTAGAAATTCAAACTCAAAACTTGTCCCTATACTATAATTGGGATATGGTTTTGATGATTCTTTGCAAAAAAATAGTTTATTCTAATTAATTTTACATAAAACCTTATAAATATTTTTATGGTATAAAATAGATAATTTCATAAGCTTTCTAATGGTATATAAATTTATATGTATAAATTTATATGTGCTAACAAATTATATAGATATTTGGCAACAACTGAAAAATTGCCCTTAACTTTCTTAGTCAGAGTTTTGATGATTCTTTGCAAAAAATATTTTATTCTAATTAATTTCACATTAGAAAGCTTATGAATATTTTTATGTTATGAAATAGATAATTTTATAAGCTCTTTAATGATATATAAAAATATTTATATGTTCGAACAAATTACAAAGATATTTGGCAACAACTAAAAAATTGTCCTTAACTTTCTCAGTTATGTTTATATCAAGAAATCAATGAAATTAGAAATGTTGATTCAAATAAAATTTATTCTGTTCTATTATATTATATGCCATAATTTTAACTTGAATTTAACATGAATATAAGTTAAAATACCTTTGCCTTTCTATACATTTAACATATACGGAATTATTACAGTAATTAATTGACTTATTATTTTAACATTTTTGATTACTATTTTAACACATTTTTATAAAATAGACCTTATTGAACAACAAAGATTATTTTCTTCATATTAGTACTTTAGTAAAAAAATGTATTTATTTTGATTTAATTAATCTTTATATTCATCAATAAATTTATTATTATAAGAAATATTTTTACCATACTTTTTTAACCAAAATCCATCACATTGTAGTTTTCTCTATTTAATGAATAGAGAATTAGGCCAAGCCCAAAATGTTTGTTATTCATCCAGAACATTTTTCGGCAATGAACTTTCATCTTCATTAGTTAAATCTGTAGAAATATTGTCATCTGATGTAGTTGTAGTAAGTTGATTTAACATTCCATCGACTTCTGCAAGTTTTAGTTGTAACAAGGTTGTCTTCATACTAACTAGAAAGAGATATTTGTGATAAAAAATGTAAATGATGAACATTTGGGTTTGATGGAATAGCAGGCGTAATTAGAAATAGACATATATAATAGGCACAATACATGCTTCAATGCAATACTTTTATTTAAGAAAATTAGTATTAAGAATAATTACATAGTAAACAAAATGGCAGACATGACATTTTGAAATAAAAAATACATGTAATCAAAGGTTAGGTATAAAACATTATCAAATTGTTCAAAAACTATAAATAGTACCGAATAATATTACTATATTAATGTTATTTATGTTGTATTCTTGTATTAGTACAAAATATTACTATTATTACCTTCCAGAGTTATAAGCCGGTTCATCAAATCATTTTGTTGAATTATCAAATCCGAATTAAGTTTCTGAAGCTTTTTGTAAAAATCCTCGTCCTTCAAATCAAAAGAAGAAGAAGCACTGTTATTCTGTTTATTTTCAGACATAATAAAGCTTTTATTAATTAAACAAATCACAAATAAATGTAACTGACAGCAACTGTCGAAATTAGCTGTCACAAAAATGGCGGAAGATGATAACGGATACCACCGAGAGGAAAATAAATGATTTATTTTTCGGAAATTTAATTTAAGCACATTTAATAACTTATTTGTTTTTAAAAGGGTAAATTTGTGTAAAGTAGTATTTTAAATTGTTTAAATTACTGTAAAATATCTTTTAAATTGATTAAATCACTGTATGTCTTTGACGTTAACAGTGTTGCCATATAAATACTTAACGTTAATTTTGAATTCAAAATTTAATAATTAATTAATAGTATTTCATCTTACATTAATTTAAACAACTCAAATTCACAAATAATAAAAGTCTTTTTCATTATATTTAATTTAGGCTAAAAATATAAATTAACGGCTCGTACCCTATTTGAATTAACGGCAAGTTTTGCAATGGTTGTACCGCCAATTACCGCTAACTTCAGAGTCTTGTCAAAATGTTATAACCGATTTAAGGTTTAGTTTTTTAAAATAATTAACAAAATTATGATTATTTTATGTTGTTATATATATTATTGTTTTTGTGTAAATATAAATAGATTATAAAAGCTTCTTTGTGTTAACTTTTAGTGTAAAAGATTTAAATAGTGTAATAGACACTTTAAAAAATGACAGGTAAGTCTATATAATAATTCAGTTAATTTTTGAAATAATAGCAAATTAAGTAGTTACATTTTAATTTTATGCATAATTTTATACTTTTTCAAGTATTTTTATTAAATGTAACATTAGAAAATGTTCTGTTAATATATCTTATAAATATTGACATTTTTCGGTTTTTAGGTTAATTATTTTCAAATTTATAAATATTATATATATATTAATTATATATATATTTATATATTATTTTACATTACTAGCAAAAACCGATACACATTGCACTGCATCATTATTTTGTAAGTTAATTTTAATTTTTTTTCCCTGAACTCAACTCCAATCCAAAATGGGGTGACAGTATTTTCGTTAGTATCATAAAAAAATAGATAAATCATATATTCCATATAGTCATTACCCAAAAACGTGAGAAATTAATTATTTATTTTTTTCTAATGATCAACACTATCATTCCGTTTCGGTTTGACGTTGAGTTCTGGGACACCATGTATATATAAACAAATATTTATTAAATCACAACAAACTAGTATAAAATCAATATTGATCCTCTTATTATATATTTTGCATGAAGATAATCTTCAACAGCGACGACGGTTTCTTTGATTCTAATTATATAAATTTTATTGCTCCAATTTTTATCTCTAAGAATTAATTTCGCCGTTATGATAATGAATTCGGGTTAGTTTAAATTTTAAATAAATAATTACTTAATTCAATAAATACAGGGTTATACACACTATCAACTTGCGAACAAAACTGTTCAAACAATAGGAAAAAGATGAAGACGGTAAAAGAATATATATATATATATATATATATATATATATATATATATATATATATTTTATATATATGTGTATATATAAATGTTGATAATATTATTGCATAGATTTGCAACCTTTTTGTGTAAGAATATGGAAAAAACTTACGTCTAGTTGAACGATTTTAAATTGTTCATCAAATT